ACTGACAGTGTTGATGTGCCTCTCTGAAGCTTTTTTTCTTTTTCATCATTGTATCTGCATTCTGAAACTATCTGAGCTAGACTTGGTTCTGCCATCTGAAGTCCATAGAAGTACACTATCCTGCAGGTTAGAAGCCCAGACCGGGAATTAATTCCAACACAAAAGCCACTCCTACTTAACAGAGAGTGGAAGTAGAGGGATATCCAAAGCACTTTCCAGAGCTAGAATGAGACAGAAATTGGCAATAAAACTGAAACAAAGGGAGTTAAAAATCAGCTCATATCAGGTCACCAAGTTCACTTCTAGGGAGGATATTAAATGAGGACAAAGATGTGGAATAGTTTTGGCAAGAGGTATGACCATCAGCATCCACCTATTCAAGATTCAGCTGCTATTGATATGGAGTGAAGGAAATGGGGAGTGCAAAAGAGGCCAGAGATTGAGGAATTAAGGTATGGGTAGGCTGGAGGGAGGCAAAGGGCTAGAATATAGGATGGATTATGAAAGACTTTCAAACATATAGAGTAGCACCTTTAAATTTGAGGCACTGGGGTATGTCATCAGGGTCAGATGTGATAAGCGAAGGGGACTTCAGGCAGAGTCTTCTACTTGCGTTGGCTGTCGCACTCACTTGCTCGGAAGGTGGCGACACACTGAAGTGGATTCTTGAAAGCAAGGCCCGCTGTACCTTCCTCTAATCAGGTGGTTTGGAGAGCCTTGCCCTAATGCCAGGTCGAGTCAGAGGCCGGTAACACCACAGAGAAGACACTGCCAACAGGCCAAAAGAGGTCAGAAAGACCAAGCTTTCAAGTGAGTGCTTCATGGAGTTGCTTGCTTGTTTCTGAGTTTTGGGGTCATGAAGAGGGAGACAGCAGGTTTGGAAGCAAGGGTAAGGGCGTCTTTCAGGGACCAACCTGTGTGCTATGTCCAGTTCCTCAAATGATCACAAGTTAGTGAAGATCAAGGAGCAAATCACATTCACACTGCCCCCAAACCTTCCTCGCCCCATTCCCAAACCCTCCCCAAATTGCAGCCTGTCCGCACTACTTAACCAGTTGGACGGCTGCCTGGTATTTCTTCACCTGGAACTGAAATAATTGAAGCCTAGGCAGGAATAGGTCTTTAGGAGGTCATTGATTGACCATCTAATGGCCTAAATTGGTGACTGGGTGGAAAGGTGGCTTCCCTAGGCAGAATGTATTTCAGGTGGGGACAGGAAGGGTGGTAGGATTCTGTGATGTCAGGAGTCTATCTCGTTAAGCAGCCCTCCTTCCCCCAGGCCCAAAACCTCTGGGACTGAGCAATTTGCCCTTGGTGTGAAATAGATAACCTTCCCAAAGTGATTTGGACAGTTGTGGGGAGAAAAGAGCACGTATTTGGGAGGTGGCAGCATGTTCTAAGACTTTAGAGCAAGGAGAATGGAGATGAGACAGCAGTCTTCAAGGATTGGGGGTGGGCAAGGGGTGGTGATGACGATGAGTTTGCAAGGAGAGAGAGAGAGCAGTGCTCGACAAGGGTATCATTTATAATGTCCTTTGGCGTGGTGGTTCGAGAGGTTTGGTGATTCACAATTGTGTGGGAATTGAGTCAAAGGAGCAGAAATTCAAGAGTTAAGTTCAACAGGTACTCAGTGACAGCCTGCGGAACAATATGGGGGAAATTAGTGAGAGACAGGAGATGGTGTTAGGGGAGGGGGCAGCCTGGTGTGGCTTGATGTGTCGGGACCAGGTGGTTTATAGGTGGGTGGATGAATTATCATGGGAGGAAGTGGAAGGGACAGCTCAATAGATGTCTTCAATCTTGTTGACAAAGTTGTCCGTGATTTATTCCCTGTTTGGTGTTGGTGGTCTGGAGGTAAGGAGGTGATTTTAAGACCTGTAAAGGAAAGGTGTTTCAGGTGGTGGAGTAAAAATTCCAAGATTTTTCAAGCTCTCTTGTGTCATCCTTGAGTAGTAGGTGTCCAGTATTGATGATGATGCAAAGATGTCTCGAACCAGTGATGTGTCATATTAGGATGTAGTTAATGAGGCTGTCTAGTGGTTAATGTGAATCCAGTCTAGGTTTACAGGATGAAACCAATTGCACATTGTCATCATCTTTTTGAAACTTTCTTTCGGTGACGTGTTGTGTGGGGGCACCGTTGAGGCAAACTGAAATGTTCTTTATTCATCCTACTGGATGAATTCAGTCAGTGGGTGGTTAAGTCAAAGTTGTTTGTTGTCTTTATGGCTTAGGACCACATCAGATGATGTGTTTATTTATGGGAGATGTCTGTGAGTAATGCACCCACTTTTGTTTACTTATTGCCTTGTTTTAAATTTAAGAAACACCAATGCTTTAACAATAAAACTGAAGAACGAAAGCAATGCCTGTTATTTAACCTCCTCTCTCCACATGACCAAAGGCCCCAAACGTCTCTTCCAAGTGAAACAGCAATTTCTTTCAATTTAGTATTATTTCTTCACAGTTTGCAATCTGGTCTGCCGTACAGTGGGAAGATGAAATGCAGACCAGGTGACTACTTTTTCCTTTATCCATTCATGGGATGAGGGCACTACTGGCAAAGCAGCATTTATTGCCCATCCCTAATTGCCCAGAGGGCAGTTAAGAGTCAACCTCATTGCTGTAGGTCTGGAGTCACATGTAGGCCAGACCAGGTAAGGATGGCAGTTTCCTTCCCTAAAGGTCATTAGTGAACCAGGTGGGTTTTTCGACAATTGACAATGGATTCATGGTCATCATAAGATTCTTAATTCCAGATATTTACTGAATTCAAGTTCTACCATCTGCCGTGGCGGGATTCGAACCCGGGCCCCCAGAATGTTACCTGGGTCCCTGGATTGAGTCCAACGATAATTCCACTAGGCCATCGCCTCCCCTATGCAGAATAGCACCTCTCAGTCCACAAGCACAACCCCAGGCTTCTGATGGTCTGTTGTTTTAATGATCCATCTTTCTCTCACATTGGCATCTCTGTCCTCGACCAATGGCAGGATTCCAATGAAGTTGAATGAACACTCGAGGAATTGTGACTCATCTTTTGATTTAGGCAATTTGCAGGCCTCTGCTCTCAACATTGAGTTCAATAATTTCAGGTTGCAATCACTGCAGCTTCTTCTGCTCATTTTCTTTGACTTCTCTTTGACATGTTTTGATCTTAATCTTGGTCTCTATCGTCTTTGCTCTCATTCTTTATTTTGTCTCCAATCTTCCACATTTCCACAGCCATTCCATTTTGCTCTTTCTTCACCCTTGCCCATTTACTGTACATTAAATCAAACCTATCGAGATTTCTGATCAACCTGTCCAGAGATGTTGTTATTATACACCTCTGGAACAAGTGAGATGTGAGCCCAGGCCTCCTGGCTCAGAGGTAGAGACACTGCTACTACTTCGCAAGAGGCCTTAAACCTACCTTATATATACTTGCAGAAAGTTGATTTCATGTGAAGTTCAGCCGGCTATTTTTTTCAGCCTGAAAAAATCATAACATTTCACTCAGTTCAAGTGTACAAGTCAATCATAGCTACTCGAGGATCAAACACAAAAAAAAATCAGAACCATTGTATAATCCTGGAGATATTAACAATCTGATTAATTTTCTTCCCTCTTTCATGGGATGTGGGCATTGGAGAATTTCTTGCCCATCCCTAATTGCCCTTGAACTAATGTGGTTACTCGGACATTTAAAAATAAACCATATTACAGTGGGTTTGAAGTGGCACATATGTCTGATGACAGATTTCCTTCCCCAAAGGACATCAGTGAACCAGATAGGTTTTCACATCAATCGAGGATTTTTGTCATGGTTACCACAACTGACTCACTTTATATTTTCCAGATTTATTATTTGAATTTAAGTCCCACCAAGCACTATGGTATGATTTGGATCTATGTCCTCAGATCATTGCCTTGGCCTCTACAGTCTCACTGACAGTATTACCAGTGTCTCATAGAATAGAATAAAATCCGTATAATGCAGATGGAGACCATTTGGCCCATTGCGTCTGCACCAATCCTCCGAAGAGCATCCCACCCAGATCCACCCCCTCCCACCCTAGCCCTGCATTGGGTTTTTACCCCGTGGTTAGTCCACCAGCCTGCACGTCCCTAGATACTACAGACCATTTAGCATGGCCAATCTGGCTAACCTGCACATCTTTGGACTGTGAGAGGAAACCGGAGCATCCGGAGGAAACCCACGCAGACACGGGGAGAATTTGCAAACTCCACACAGACAGTCGGCCGAGGGTGGAATCAAACCCAGGTTCCTGGTGCTGTGAGGCAGCAGTGCTAACTGCTGAGCCATTGTGCTGCCCTGTCTCCATAATTTGATTGTAAATACTGATCAAAATGCACAGTGTAAATAGTTGTTTAAAGCATATATGTGTTTAAGTTTTGTTAACATTTATTATAATTGTTAAAATGTTCAGATTATGTATGACAAACTGTGTTGTTACTGATACCCACTTGCCAGTAATTACTATCACTCATTAAAAACCAATGGAGAACTCTTAGATTTTCCCCCCCCCCGCATTCGATGAGATGTGCGTAGCTTGGAATATTATAAATAAATGTTACCTAATTAACATTAATTCTTTAGTGTTGCTAACTTTTACTTTGTTTCATTATGATATTTTTGGACTTCACTTGGGTCCAAACCAGGCATGAATGTCAGTCTCTCAAAAACATTATGCCTGTAAATGTCGATCCCTTAACATTTCACCTGAAAAAACTTGCTTGAAAAGTTTGAATTTTGCATGTGTATATGTGCCTCTAACTTTTCCCATTCAGATGAAAGTTCATCAATCAGGTGCTCTGTTTCTCTCCCTACAGTCACTGCCAGACACGCGGAGTGCTGCCAGCGATTTTTGTTTTGTTTTGAGAGGAAGCACAAGTTCTCTCTTAATGTGGCGCTTCTTAGGAAAGTTGCGTTCAACAATCCAAATTAGGTGGGTAATTGCTGATGTTTTTCTGACGTCCAACTTTGTTCTCCGCAGGCACACCACTCATGGTGCGAAGAAGCAGTGATCCGGCAATGGTCCCACCTACTCTGTTCCAACCTGGTGCTTCTCAATCTGATGAACCCCTTAATAGGAACCTGAACGTGAAGCCTGTCACAGTGGTAAGCCATGGCTCGATAGAGTTGGGGAATTGAAGGGAAGGAGGGGGGTGGGGGGAGTTTGGATTCTGTTGGAGCTGCATGCAACAACTCTGAGATTTGTTTATTTAGCCTGCTAAGCACTTTAGGGTCCATTTAACCATTGACACCTAGGACGTAATGGAGGCTATGCAAGTATGAAACTGATGTCTGCAACCCTCCTAAGTATAGCTCAGTCATTTCTGCATGAAACCGTAGTGCAATTGATATAGATGCCTTGTTTGCTCTGTCAATCACCTGATCTGAAGAGTATTTGGTGTTTACATTTCCTACTTGTGCTTTGTGTTACCTTGACCATTTGAGACATGTTTATTAAGGTGAGCATGTTCTGGAAAATAGCTTTACTGCTTCTGTGTTATTGTTTTGGCATTATCTATGATTTTCTTGTCCACATAATAGACCTCTCAACCAGCAGTGAGTTTCCTGACTCATGCACGCTTTATACCTAAGGGCCTTTAAACTAAATCTTGCTTTATCAGATTGATAGGCGTTGGCTCATCTCGTGTGCTGCTCTCTAGTACTTAGGCTGCCCTTCTCCCCTCTACTTATTGATGTGACTATTGCAGGTTCATTTAGGGTGAAAGAATCTTCTCCTAACCCTCAGAATTGGCCTCCTTGGCATGACCGGTGGCAGTGGAGGCAAGCGATGACGATTATGATGCAGATGATTGCCTTTCATTAGTATCAAAGATGGTTGCCTCACTCAACTTGTAAAATAAATGATGAGTGAGCTGCAAAAAGACATTGACAGAAATTTTATCCTATCCTGTTGCTCAGAAAACTGGGGAAATTTGAGTTCTGAAACCCATCTGATTTCATTCCCATTAAATTCATTGAAACAACAATATCAGGTGAAGTGCCAATTTCTCATTCCACACAATACTGTGAGATTCCTATCTGGAGTGTTAGGCTGAAGTTACCCTGGGTCTGTTTATTAATGGCCCTAATTCTGCTCTTTTACTGACAGTGAAACCAAAGAGTGTTTGTCATCGTTGTTTTGTAAAGTTAGCAGAAACTTCTGGCACAGGTGGAGTTAGATTTGGAAGTTACTATCAGTGATTCCCTGCCCCTTCTCAGGGCATGCTATTGAAGTCCTAACAGAAATAAAGCAATTAAAAATCACTGAGTTTGTGTGAACTTATGTTTCTTACCCTATTAATCTCAGCAGTTTAAAACAAAAGGCCCATGACCCCCAGAGATGTGTCATAGATTGATTAAAGTAACTAAAAATATTATTCCTTGCTAAATGAGTTTTTTTTTTAATCATTCATGGAATGTGGGTGATGCTGGTTTGGCCAGCATTTATTGTCCATCCCAAGGTATCCTTCAGAAGGTGTTGATGAGCCGCCTTCTTGAACTGCAGCAGTCCGTTGTGGTGCAGGTAGACCCACAATGCTGTTAGACAGGGAGTTCTAGGATTTTGGCCAAGTAGAGCCAAAGGAACGGTCATATTTTTTTCAAGTTAGGATGGTGAATGGCTTGGAGCAGAATTTCAGGGTGCTGGTGTCCCCATATATCTGTTGCTCTTATCCTTCTGAATGGCAGGGGTTGTGGGTTTGGAAGCTGGTGGCCGAGGAGCCTTGGTAGATTTCTGCAGCACATCATGTTGACTGTACGCTGATTCTGCTGTGTGTCAGTGGTGGAGGAATTGAATGTTTGTCAGTGTGTTGCGAGTCAAGTGGGCTGCTCTGACCTGGATGTTGCAAGCTTCTTGAGTGTTGCCTGGATGAATGCAGCTTCAACAAGTGGACAGTATTCTATCTCACTCCTGATTCTTTTGCCTTGCAGTGACCAGGTTTTGGGAGTCAGGAAGTGAATTGTTTGGTGCAATATTCCTAGCCTCTGATCTGCTGTTGCAGCCACAATTTTTATATGGCTAGCTGAGCTGAGTTTCCAGTCAATGTTAGTGGGTGATTCAACTCTGGTAATGCCCTGATAACCTTTCACAACTTTGTTTATCAAGAAGCTATCTAATTCTGTTGTATAAGTATTCAAAGAATCTGCTTCCGCGGCCTTTTGAAGGAGGATTTGCAAAGATTCATGACCCTCTGAGAGAAAAATAATCCTCCTATCTAGTTTAAATGGATGACTCCTTGTCTTTAAACAGTGATTTCTAGTTCCAGATTTTACCAGAAGATGAAACATCCTCCCCATATCCACCTTGTCAAAACCTCTCAGGGTCTTACATGTTTCAATCAAGTCATCTCTTACTCATTTAAACTTCAGTGGATTCAAGTCTGGCCTTTCCAATCTTTCCTCATATGACAGCCTCCCATTTCAGGTAATTGTCTCGTAACAATCCCTGAACTGCTTCCAACGCATTCTACATCCTTCCTTAAATAAGTATACCAATACTGTGCACAGTAACTGAAACATAATCCCCCTGCATCTTTGTATTCAGTTCTCCCTGGAAAAGATTATAGCATTCTGTTAACTTATGTAATTACTTCACCCGTACCTTCACACTAACCTTTTATGATTCATGTACGAGGATAGCCAGATCACTGTGTCTCAGAGCTCTGTAAACTCTCCCTACTTAAATATTATACTTCATTGTTTTCCTGCCAAAATGGACAATTTCCCATTTTCTTACAGTATACTCCATTTGCCAGATTGTTGCCCTCTCACATAACCTATCTGTATCTTGCTGTATCCCTCTTCCATACCTACACCGGCCCTAAACCCCACCTCTTCCTCCGGTATATTGATGACTGTATCGGCGCCACCTCGAACAGTTCATCCACTTCACTAACACCTTCCACCCCAACCTTAAGTTTACCTGGACCATCGTTAACACCTCTCTCCCCTTCCTGGACCTCTCTGTCTCCATATCGGGCAACCACCTAGAAACCGATATTCATTTCAAGCCCACCGACTCCCACAGCTACCTAGAATACTCCTCCTCCCACCCACCTTCCTGCAAAAATGCAATCCCCTATTCCCAATTCCTTCGCCTCCGCCGCATCTGCTCCCAGGATGAGGCATTCCACTCCCGTACATCTCAGTTGTCCTCGTTTTTCAAGGACCGTAACTTCCCCTCCTCGGTGGTCGAGAACGCCCTCAACCGTGTCTCCCACATCTCCCGCACCTCATCCCTCACACCCCGTCCACGCAATAAGAACCAAAAAAGAATCCCCCTCGTCCTCACGTACCACCCCACCAACCTCCGGATCCAACGCATCATCCTCCGACACTTCCGCCATCTGCAATCCGACCCCACCACCAAAGACATCTTTCCCTCCCCACC